TCGGAGATTGGGTGCTCCCAAAATTAATTTTTGAAGTTTCCAACTAGCTTTTGCCTCGAGATTCGTGCTCGATCAAGATAATTTTTACATGGCGTATCAAAAATAAAAATAATTATATATATAATTATTTCTAAATAAGTGATTTTTGATATTAAAAGACAAATTTTGAAAGTTTGTATTGAAAATATGAGTGGAAAGCGGGCTTAAATTATATTACACATCTCTTAAAAGTAGTTATGGCTTAAGTAAAAGTGCTTATCGGAACTTGGTCGCCGCAACTTTAGACTATAAACATGTCTAATCAGGTCCTTCGAATTATGCCTTTATGTGCTGCTGTCTTGACAAATATATGGTGGTCCAAAACCTGCCTAATGATCTATTAATCTTTTATAATTAGATCCATTGATTGATTTGCTAATCTCGATTAAGACACGTTTTAAAGATCTAATAGGTTTATGACTCTAAACTTTTGATTAATAATTAAGTAAATTTATGTTATGCTAATCTTAAATCATATTTTAAAACCAAATTTTGATTTGCTTAACCAACAGTTTATTTCAATAATAAAAGCATATAAATATTTAAACAAACAGGTTAACAATATTTTGAATATTACAAAGTATATAAAAAGAGCTTTTCCTATCTTAATATTCAATTATTAATCATAAATTTTATGGTCAATATCTTCAAGAATTTATGTTACATTTTACAAAACTATTATATATTTATAGAGAATTTCTACTTCAAATTCTACGATAATTAATGCATTGACTAGATATAAATTATATTTTTATTTTATTATAAAAATTATGCAAAATATTTCTATTATTTCACATTATTTGTAAGGCAAGATCATTTCAATATAGTAAAAACAATCATATATCAAAATTTAGAAGTTTTCTCAACAAAAAACAAATCAGAATATCCCAGTAAAGTATTACTTGAGATAGCTTTCTTTATGCTTTATTTTTTCATAAAACAATCACAATTTTTATTTAAACATTATTTGTTGTTGGTTTAAAAAAAAATTGTTTTGTTATATTAGTTTTACAAAACAACAAGAAGCCGTCTCAAATGTAGCACAAATATGACTGATTACATGAATCATTTTTCTCCGTTAAAAAGTTTTGGCTCTGCTAGGATTATCCTCCCCCATCCCTCAGCTCCGTTGGGTTTCCTCTCGGAGGCTTTTGCCGTCACTGCCATCATGAAGGTTGGCCTCAAGGAAGCTATCTTTTTCCCTATTCTTCTTTATTACGATTTTGGTGTTTTATTGTTTGGTTTTTTTTGTTTCGACCTCTTCAGGCTGTTTTCGACCGGAATGCATGGTGGGGAAACAAAATTTTTATCCTAAGTTTTTGGATGATTCTATGAAACCGCGCTCGTTTATCGACGCTTTATCTAGTTCTTTCTCTGATGTATGCTTTCCTAAGCTCAAACGAACTACCTTCAGTGGTTTACCGTCTTTGTGGATCTTTGAGGAGGGGATCCTTGCGCTTGAGGCTCCTTTGCAATTTGAGTAAGTTTTTTTCCTTCCCGGCAACCTAGGATATATAGCTTCTATCCGAAAGTTCTATTTCAACCTTAAGCTCAATGCCGATTTTTCCGTGACGTTGATCAATCCGTCGCATATTCTAATTAAGTTGATGAATAATCTGGATTATAATAGAGTGTTTGGCCACATAACTTATTTTGTCAATAATTTTTACATGAAATTAACAAAATTGTCTCCCTCACTTGATATTGGTGTTTAGTCTCTTGTTATTCCTATTTGGAATTCATTCCCAAACTTAAGGCTACACCTCTTCTCTCCTCGTATCCTTCATGCTCTTGGTTCACTATTTGGGCGTCCATTAAAAGTTACAATGCCACCTTCATTGGTTCTCGACCATCTGTTGCGTGAGTTTTAGTAGATATTGACATTACTAAATAATATTCGAACAAAGTGTGGCTCGAACATGAAAAGTTTGGGTTGGATGAGTTTTTCTCTTTCCCTTACGAGGATGTTGGGGATGATTTGGATGAGCTGAAGGATGATTTTCAAGAAATGTATAGTTTAAATGTAAGTCGTTGTGATCAAAAAGTATTTTTCCACAGTGATGGCAAACATCAAAAGCGGAAATGGAAAAAAAGTAATTGGTTCTTTTGACAGGTTTCTTTTGTTGTTGGGCATCCTCTTCAATTTTTTTTGCATTTGTTGACTGCTTTGGTTTTCGGTTGTCAGCTTTCTTTTTCTGTCCCGATTAGTGATGAGGCCGATTTCTGCACAACCCATGGATGGCTTTGGATGGCCTTGGCTTCCTGGCAACCTTGATAGTTCTTTCTCTCGTTCTGATTGGTGGTCTTTCTTTGGGTTGTGGGATGATGCTTGGCATGTGACTTGTTGCCTCTAATGAATGGTCATTGCATGACTTCTAGCTGGTTGAAGAAAGGCTCATGTCATTCCTGAGCCCACTAGTTCTTTGCCTTAATTTTCTGATTATAGTTTTGCATTTTTTGTATTATCCTCTGTTGAGCTTGTTTATATTCTCCTTCTTATTGAATGAATTTTGGTCATTTACCTTAAAAAAAAATCTCCATTTTGTACAAATCAAATCAGAATATCCAAGCCCAACTTTTTTCCCATATCGTTATCATCACCTTTGTAAAACTGCACTCATCATTAGTCATCACCTTTCTATAAAATATTTCAAGCCACCTCCTCACTCATGCATGATGCATCCCCCATTATCTCAATCCATAAACACTCCTACATCTATAAAACCTCTCAATTAATTCCTCTCTATCCATACATAGCATCAAATAACTAATCATCAAGAGTTACTTAGCTATCTAGCTTGCCATGGAGCAACTAGTTAACACTAATGGCGCTATATCCACTAAGAAGAAGAAGAAGAGCGTAGAGGAACAATCATGCTTCTTCTGCGCAATGGAAGACCCAAACCCCCAACGCCGCCAATCAACTCTAAGCTCCTTCTTCAGCTCAATGCCTCACAACGACGACGACCCTTCCCAAGTCCTCGTCATGAGCGGGCTCTGGACCTACGCCATGACCAGATGCGACGTCGACCCAATCCTTGCTTCCTCCGGCATCCTCCGATGCTGCTCTCTCCTCATCAACAAAGCCCTCAACAATCCCTCCTGGCTCCACCGCCACCAAAACATTTATATCCCTTATTACGCCGCCCACATCATCGGCTCCTTCACCCTCCACCTCCCACGATTCGCTTCCCTCGCCGTCTCCTCCGGCTGTCTCCCTTCACTCCTCTCTCTCCTCCGCGGCTCAATGACTTGGATAGAACAGCGCGTCGCCGTCCGCGCCCTCGGCCATCTCGCTAGTTTCGACGATACTTTCCCCGCCGTCGAAACCCACGCCGGCGATTTCATCATCCCGGTTACCATCCACCTCGCCTCCACCTGTCTCCAAACCGTATATTCCGAGCCGAGAGCGAAATACCAGAGAGATCTCCTCACTCGCGGACTCAACGGAGCCGATACGGAGGCGAGGAAGGCAGAAGAATGGGCCAGCCAGCTTCAAACCTGGTCAATTTACCTTCTCTGCTGCTTCGCCTGGCGCGACGTGAAGTGGCATGTGGACATTGTAACGAAAAACGGCAACTTTATGAAGAAGCTCTGTACCATGTGGGGAGGATTAGCCAATGGTGACTCCCCAGCAGGAGTTGGATTAATGAGAATCCTTTGCCGGAGCGAACTCGGCCGGACGGCGATCGCCGGTTGCGTCAAAGCCGTTCAAAGCCTCTGTAATCTCTCCCGTTCATCAGACGACTGGCAGTACATGGGAATAGACTGTCTTCTCCTCCTCCTAAACAATCCAACCACCCGCGCCCAAGTCCTCCCGATAGCTTCGCCGCACCTAACCGACCTCGCCGAGCTCCGGCGACTCGGTTCCAGAAGACGGCTCGGCGAAAAGATAATTAACTCTCTTTCACTAACGGAATTGGTGCAGAGAACAAAAATGGAGGCAGAAATGAGCTTAGAGGAAATAGAACTAAAGTGCAAAATCGCGAGGGAAAGGGAAAAGGAAGGGAATAAGCGGCTTCGGATCGGTGACGTGGAAGGAGCCGTTGAAAAGTACACGGAAGCATTGCTGACCTGTCCGCTGAAAAGAAGAAAGGAGAGAATGGTAATTTACAGCAATCGGGCCACGTGTAGGGTTTTGATTGGGGAGGCGGAGGCGGCGATTAGCGACGCGACGCGGGCCTTGGCGCTGTCGGAGCCGGCGAATACGCACGGGAAGAGTCTATGGAGGCGGGCGCAGGGTTACGATATGATTGGGATGGCCAAGGAGAGTTTGATGGATTGTTTGACGTTTTTGAACTGGAGGTATAATAATTATGCGGGGAAGCGAGAGAGAATTGGTGCGGTTGTGCCTTATTGCGTTGTGCGGATGATTAATAAGCAGATGAGCAGAGTTTGGCTGTTCGACGAGGTCACGAAGAAGTGCGGCGGCGGCGGCGGCGGCGGCGACGTCGGCGTCGGCGTCTCTGAAGAGGGTACTGCACGCCTCTTAAAGCAATAAAAAATTATATATTTTATTTTATTTTTTAAAGAAAATTTTGATATAATTTAAAAAAACAATTATGATTTTTTTCTTACGTTAAAAATAGGATATTTTTTAATATATTGTTAAGATAATAAAAATTTATTTTATTCTTATAGATATTTTAGTATATAACAAGAAAAAAAAACAGATGAATATAATATATTAATATTTATTATTAATTTTATTTAATATTTAGCCTAAAATTAATTAAGTATAAGTGAGAATATTGTTGACATAACTTTTGTTCTTTAATTATTGATAGACTTACCGACATTTTGATCTTTGCAGGCTTTGAATTGGGGAAGGTAGTTGAAGAAATGGATTAAAATATGTTTGTTGATTTGGGGGAGGAGAAAGGGTATTGAATAGGGTAAATTATTGCGTCCAGTATCCAGTGTATTTGGATGACGTGGCGTCACCGGATTGGATGTCCGGACATCCGGTGATTGGACGCAATAATTCGCCATTGAATAGAGGATATCGGCTAGTTATAAAATATTTCAAGAAAAAAATATTTTTGTTAAAATGGCATAGATATATAGATGTATGGTTTAATGTATGATATTGAAGAAGTTTATTTACATGAGGGAAATGATTAAGGCTTCGTTTCGGGCAACTTTTTTATTGCTTTTAAGTCGTCATTTTAGTGCTAAAATTTAATTTTGTACTGAAATAATGCTTTAAGATGGAGTTAAAAAGCCGTACCAAATGAAGTCTAAATTGAACTTTGCTTGCATGTTGTGGTGTTTATGCTTAAAATGAAAAATGTTTTCTTTTAATGGAAAATATTATATGATAGCTTTAAATTATGTTGTGGTAAATACTCAATTAGAGCTTCTATAAATCATCAAAATAATAAATTTCTATCTTGTGAAAAAAACTAAATTTTGAGTTTTCTTTTATGTGGATAGCAAAAAAATAAAATTAAATATAAGTGGCATTAAACATTTATATTAAAATAATAATAAAATATTAATATAATTCTTGCGAGCTAAAATATACGCGGCGATAGAGTTTAAACTCTACGTCTTAGCATTGCACGGAAATCCAGCTCACACACAGAGAACACAATATATTTTTACGTGGAAAATCCTGGAAAGGGGAAAAACCACGGAGTATGGCCTTGTTTGAAATGATTCCAGTAGTGTTTGGGTAGATTACAATAGGCTGACTCGTCCCTGACGGCGATCAGATTACAAATATCAACCATTTGGTTGACAATTTAGTGATAAACGTGGATGAAATTAGCATCACTTGGTGGACTGACATAAGTCCAGTGTTACTTGAAAATTCGGGCGTCAAGTGATGGTCTGGCATAACTCTGGGTTTATCCAGGTGTTAAGTGGCGGTCCAGTAGAACTTTGGGCCTTAGGCAAAGGTTCGATAGAACTCCAGGCCTCAGGTGATGTCTGGGCCTTAGGTGGTGGTCTGGAGAAGCTCAGGGCCTCAGATGGTGATCAGACGGAGGTGAGGGTCTCAAGTGGTGGTGTGGTGGAGCTCAGGGCCTCAAGTGAAGGTCCAACAGAGGTGAGGGCCTTAAGTGGTGATCCGAAGAAGGTGAGAGCCTCAAGTGGTGCTCTGGCGAAGGTGAATGCCTCAAGTGGTGGTCCGCAAAGCTCAGTGCCTCAAGTAGTGGTCCGGTGGAGGTGAGGGCCTTAAGTGGTGTTTCGGCGAAGGTGAGGGCCTCAAGTGATGGTTTGGCGGAGGCGAGGGCCTCAAGTGGTGGTCCGATAAAGGTGAGGGCCTCAAGTGGTGGTCCGGCTGAGCAACAACGTCATGCGGTGGTCCGTCGGAACTCAGGCGATGGTTGAGGAGGAGGCAATAGTGATATCCGATCACTTTTTTAAATCCTTTGACTTGGGGTCTCTTTTCAAGAGAATAGGAGGGGGTCTATTTATAAATTTCTCGAGTGGCATTGCCCATAAATAGGTGAGAGATCAAGGGTAGATGGGGAGTGGTTGGATGGACGACCGATGTTGAATCCTTTGATTGAGGACCGTTTGATGGACATTTGAATGTCTTAGTGATGTCGGAATTTGGTGATCTTGGGCTCGTTGGATTTTTCTCATCGAGGCGCTCGATTTGACTATAAGCATGTTATGTTTGGAAATCATTTAGTAATCCAAATTGTGTTTCAAACCTTCCAACAATGCTTCTAACCCTTGATTTGGACCCATTTGGGCTCGGATTGGGTTGGATTTGATGTCGTTGGATTCGTATTCTCGAGACGTTCAGTTTGACTATAAGTTTATTGAAATCAGAGATTGGGTGGTCCCAATTTTAATTTTGAAAGTTTCCGACTTGATTTTGCATCGAGATTCGTGCCCGATCAAGATAATTTTTTGATGATGTATCAATAATTATATAATTTAACTTGTTTTTAATATAAAATTTATATAAATCTCTTTTGGGGCTCTAAAATTATAGAAAAATTTCCATAAAATAGCTTATTTTATTTAGAAAATGTCGATGAAATCGATTTGTAAAACGTACACCAAACGGTCTCAAAATCTCAACTTGTATCGATATGTGTTACTTTTTTAAGAATTTTCACCAGTGCCAAAAAATTTCGGCAAAATTGTTATAATTAAAACACAATAATATATATCTTATGGCTAAGACGATTTATGATTTAGAGTTAAAATGATTTCTTAAAAAAAAAAATTGGGTAAAAATACATGTTATTTCAATCTCCCCACCTTAGAAAAATGTTGCGCTTGACATTTCCACGGACAAAATAGATCAATAAGAATAATTCAATTCGTAAATCCGTTAAAACAACTCAATGCGATTCAAACAAATTTTAAAACCAACATAAATCCGTTCAAAATATCCAAATTAATGTATGCGATCAATCATGCATGAGTGAATTCAAAATAATCATACTCCCACATACCATTCAAACACAATATATTATACAAATTATTAATCAATCAATTCAAGGATTGAAAATTCTACCAATGGATCTTCTAGGCGCATTCATATCATCCTGCTGGATCAAACTGTAAACCTTGGGTCGTACATGTGGCAATGTTGGTGTAGCAGACAGTGTAGGTCCTCTTTGACTTTCAACCACCTTTCTTCCATCTGTCATTCTCACAGGCTCTTCACTATATTCTTTAGATCACATGGTTCTCAGTCTAGAGCCTTGTCTAGCTTGCTCCCCTCTGAATCTAAATCATGTTCCCTATTGCTATAATGGACAATACTAAATCATATGGTGAACACTATCCAGTTATCAGAAAATTAGAACTGATAAGATGTTTCAAGGACCAAGCATATATGAACACATATTTATACAATTTTTAAAATTTCAACGAAGGGAATATGTGATCTTTAAAACTCTCCTAATATCAAAATACATCATGATCCTACAAGTTCCAAATAAGATAAGTTCAAAAAATATTAGTTAAATCTTAATAACCAACCTTAAATAATATTGAAGACAAAGAATATATAAATTCATAGACAAGAAATATTACATAAAATGATAAGCCATAAATCTTTGTACTTGCATGTGTATGTAAGAAGTTTGAGATTGCTTTCTTACAGTTTTTTAAAGCAATTTTTTAGTGCAAAAATTTTAATTTTTTAACTTGAAAGCTGTTTTAAGAAGCAATAAGAAAGCCGCCACAAACAAAGTCTAAATTATTTCAATGATTCAAATTCTTATCGTCTGTGTTGCCTATTCAAAAGCATATTAGGAAAGCTTTGCCTCCTATTCGAGGTCATATATTTTATGATTTATTATATGAGTAGGTGAGATTAAGTTCACTTAAATTTCTCTAAAAAAGATTTCATAATATCTATTTTATAATTGAAACAATATAAAAAATATTTTGAATACTCTCTCTAATTGAACCATCAATAAAAAACCATCAAACATGTGACAAATAAATAATTAACTCTAAACAATTCAACAAGTCAAAAATTTTTGCCTAACTACAAACCACAATTATCCATTACTTAATACAAAATTAATAAATCTTAGCAAAAGTAACCATAAAATCTTTTCCTTTTGTGTTAAATATTTAGATATAGTAACAAATGAGCTTATTTTCTCTTCCATTAAAGCATCCTTAGCCCTCCTTTATTAGCTAAATAATATAATATTAATGTAATATAAGTGCTTTTAACCTTTAATCAAATAAATTTAATAAAATTATGATTCATTTAGTGCATGAGGATACAATCAATATGGTCCAAAGCACTTTGGTCACTAGATTTCTGGCAATGTTGCACTAATGTGGAATGTGTGGGGGCCACGTGTTAGTAGCTGATGTAGTATGAATGGAGGCAAGCTTTTGTGAGTTCCTATTAAATTAGTGGGTAATGCTTAAATGTTTATGATACATATAATGTATTCTTTATGAAGTTTTACTTTGCCATTAGATTAATGTTGTGAATGAGTCAAGTTGAGTCAAGTATCTGTCTGATCGAGTTGAGCTCGTTTGATTCTTATTGATCTCGAACTCGTACTCGACTTAAGCTCATGTGCTGAGCTCGAACTTTGCTCGTTAAAAATTTTGATTTGGCTTGTTAAAATTTTTTAGGCTCAAGCTCCTCTAAATAGCTCGAGCTTGACTTGATTATTGAACTTGATTTCTTAGTTTAAAAGTTTTTTTTTTTTTTTTTATTGAATTTTTACTTTTAATATTGGAACAATTTTAGAATATATTATATAATGCTAATTTAAAATCAAACTTAAAATATATTTTAAGTTTATCAATTAACTCGATTAACTTACAAGCCAAGTACGTTAATTAGGCTGAGCTCTAGCATCAACTTGTATAATATATGAGCTCGATTATAGGCTCAAGTTTGAACTTATGACTTGATAAGATTGACTTATGAGCTCATTAAAGATATGAGTTCATCACATTCTATTAGTTATAATCAAAGTTTATTTGAAAATAAATGTGACACATTTTAACTATAGTTCACTATATTTAAAGTTTTGAGTTATAATCAAAGTT